TTAGTAAAGGTGCAGGCGAAAAGGTAAACACCGGAACTATTATACTTGTGGCAGCGTCTGCTCACCTTAACTTTCAAGACCTGCATAGGCTTTGAAACACCAGATGTGACCTCTGGTCCTGCGCGCAACGCCAAAAACCACCTCAGATTCAAAGTGGCCTCCTTTAAAACCTATTCTCGAACAGCGTAGGGGTTAATTAAGCTTCAAACACCAAGTTGGTAGAATACTTTACTACCTTAGTTGACATGTCATCGGTCAGAAAGAACAAACATCAACCAGAAAGTTTTCCACCACCAGCAAAAAATGGGCAAAGACAACCAGGAGGATGCAAAGAACATCCAACTACTGGCGGAACAAACCATTCGTAGCTCACTTAGAACCATGATTAGCTGGATGTACAGGCGTCCAGTTAAGAAGGGAAGTTTGCCCGCTTATTGGAGTCGAAAAGCTCTGCAGCATGAATACCAACTTTCTCGGGGCACAGGCAAAGCTCGCAAAGGAGAAGCGTCAGAAGTCACTTACGATTCCACGACACAACAACCACAAAAGGCGACAAAATTCAAAACCCCATATTCAGGTTCTCTGCTTTTGACCTCCAAATTAGACGAGCCCACCCTTTCCTTACCCCTCTACTTCAAACGGCTCAAAGTCAACCTTTTGAGCTCTAAGTAAACTAGAAGGACGTGATTGCTACTTTCCCTTGGGCTTCAGCGCGACAAAATTGGCTGTAAGTCTAGAGGCTCTCCTAATCCTTTATTACAAGATTAGGAGTGTTTCTTATTCAAGCAGATCACCTAGCAAACATTAGCAAAGTGAGCTACTCTTTGAGTGACCTCTGTGATACACGCGTTTGATGACCGGTTTTTTGCTTGTCATGCGGTTGAGGTGCACCTTAGTCTTATGCGTCTGAAACGCGTCCCCCCCTTCTATATTTACGGCAGGAGTTTTTGCATTGTGTCGGTCAAGAGGGTCAGGTTTCCTTAGGTGGAGTCCTGAAGTTCCTCAAGAACTACTAAATCATAGTGCTCCCCCTCTGAATAGTCACTTAATTACCATCTACTGTGGCTA